TTAGGGGAGGGAGGCGGGTCGAGTCGGATGGACAGGGCACAAGGGATGATATGCATACACCCCGGAAGAAGACGATCCCATGGACCCTGAGTACTACCACGTCGGTTGGTAGAGGAGCCTACACTCGGACCCAGGGGGGGCCAGCCAGGACCCGGGTCTATGTGAGTGGACTCGGGAGTGTATACTCTGATGGAAAAGCAGATTCCAGTCCACTTGTTGATCGACCAAGATGTTGCGACCCGCGATTTGGTATGATTTTGCTCGCGATATAGGCGCGATAGCTCTTGCGCATTCTTGCCACTCTGCAGATGGCAGACCAAATATCACAGACACCTATAGCTCGTTTAGATTCCTGTCTAGAAATCTGATCACAAATGGAGCTGGAGGAGTTGTGCCATCCAGCTTTGAAGTCGTTGAAAGGAAGGACTGAACGGCTGAGAGCGAATCTTCGGACGCTCCTGTCGCACCTTCTAAGAAGGTGTTTGAGGTGGGTGCCAGGAGGGTCCAGTCATACCTTCAGAGGAGGTACGACTGGAGCCCTAGGGACTGGTGAGAAGTCTCTCCATGTCTCTCCATGTCTCGATTCCCAAATGTTCCACGGTATTTCAGGATCCGCCCTCCGCCGCTAGCTCGGCGGAGGGGCAGTCGATTTCCGCTGTCCGAAACGCCCCCCGAAACGCTGTCCTCGGCTGCGAGGAAATGGCCGACGGCCCGTCGGACGCAACGGACTCCTTGTGAGTTGTAGAGTGACTGGCCCTAAACCCTTCCAAAAGTGGTGGCAAGTGTGCTCCAAAGGTCTCGGGCGAGTTCGTGAGTTACCTATGTTCCATACGGTTCCAGTGATATTACACTTTTGACATCCAAGCCTAAGCCTACCAGGCAAATGCTGTGGAACCAAGGAATCGTTAGCTGGCAATCAATGGCAGCAGGCGCAGGTGCAGGTGGAGGAGGAAGATGATTCTTCCTTCTACTTCGTCACTTGGGCGGAAAAAGATCACCCAGGTGGTCCCGCATTCTGTTCCTTCTGGGTCTTGTGGGATCTTCCGAGTCATCCTGGATGATTCCCTTTGGGGTTCATCACCCTCCAACCCTCATGTCACCTAGTGTCACCGTCCACCCCCTTGTTGTGTCGGACGTCGCATTGACCGTTGCGGCGCGCGGAAATGACGCGCGCGCGGAAAGCGTGTCGCGCGTTGCGTTCCTCGCGTTCCTCGCGGAAGGCGCGACGCGCTGCGTCATGCGAAGCTCGCGATGCCTTTCGCGGAGGTCTTGCTGCTTTTGATTCTGCTGGTGATGCTCATCTACAACCGCGCCAAGGGTTCCTGTGAGTCCCGAAATCGACGGACCTGGAGCTTTGGACCCTCCCCACAAGGCACCGCCTATGGCCGAGGCGGGCGAGAGGGGGTGGAGAGAAAATGAGAGGTGCCATGTTGCTTTGTAGTTTCCCGAACTGGGTATAAATCCCCTGGCATGGGGAATATCTAATATGTTGTGTTGTGTGTGTTTCTTTTTAAAAAAATGTGTGTGTTGTTTTGTTTTTTTGAACTCGCTTTCTGGACAGCAATCCAAGAAAGTGTTTTGATCTACAGGCAGGAAGATTAACAGATTAACATGGAACTCGAAAATGGACCGAAATGGAAGACTATATAAGACGATTTTCCAGTACAGCCCAGGGATTTTCAGGTTCCATGTCATGTTCATCGTTGTTCCAAAGGAGGAAGCTCGTGCTGAGTGCCGCACTCGGTGAAGGAGGGAGAGTCTCAAGAGCTCAGGCAGCGATCCTTTCCAAAACAATGAGAGAAACAGGCTGATGTGCCGGTCAAAAGCTCATGCATGAAACTATCCTCCCAGTTGTTTTTCAATTATACAGATGTTTTTGACTTGTGTTATATACCAGCAGTCACATGTCGGGGTGCGATCCATGGAGGAAGTCGGGGTGCCCAGTATTCACTCACTGGATGGGACGAGCCACACCACCCCGTACGAACGTGACTCCTGGTATGTCTTGTTTGGATTTGATCCGATCCATTGCGGCGCCCTATTGTCGCTTGGTGAGGTGATTGGAAACCTGAGAACTGCAAGGATTCTTCAATGATTTTAGGGGGGCCACCCGGAGCAGCCCGAATGTGGATGTGTGTGTAGTGTGCAAAGGATCACCCAGGCTACTCGGGACCTTTCTTTTTTTTTCTGGACTGCACAGTTGTTGCATCATGTGTTTCACCCTGGGAGATGGTGATTTTTTTCACCGGCATAGGGAAAGAGCATTCCTCAAGTATATAGATCTTTCACTGAGAGGTGGGAGATGGGGAGCTCCACATGCCTAGCTCTTTGTTTAGAATCGTGAAGTGCCTGCGATTAGAGAGGTAGCGCACACCCTCTCACACACACTATATGATTGCGTTTGTAGCATCTATGTTTGTAGGGGGAGGTTCAGGTTGATGTGGCACACACACACACACACCCGAAAGAATGAAAGAACGCCAGTCCGGTGACGCATTCAAAAAGGCTAACTGGAGTTCTTTTTTTGGACCGATGGGTACCAATCCAGGTACTTAGGGTGAGTTTTATAGGGCGACCGTGGCCAACAGCTTAATACCTCCTACACGGTGCGCCCGCCAGGCGTCTACTCCGCCTTGGGCTCCCGTTATACTCCACCCAGCCTACCGTGACGGCGAACCAGTGCAGCTCGGTGGCAGGAAGGCATTCCACTTGGGGTCATAGAGGGTCTATGCTTGTTGACCCCAACAAAGCATCATTTCAAGGGCCCACCATTGAGATGGGGTGTTTCTTTTTTGGATATTGTTGGACCCCATGTACATGCAGTGCCTACTTTAACCACATTAACTATATTGAACTATATTGAACTTATTATGGGCCGGAGTGATCAAGAAGCAGGTGGGAGATGGGAGAAATGACCACCTGGTGCTAGGTGGGTGGGGGTGAACCATGCATGTTTTTTTCCACTGCGCCTGGGGCTTTTAAACCTTAAATCATTGAACATGACTTCCATGGCCTGGACATCAAGCAAATCTCTTGCGACATCAACGCTTTTGAAACCTGACAAAAACCTGTTAGCATGGGCACAAGCAACCATGAGCAAGCAAGGATTTGATGTTGCGGTGGGCTTCTTCCCTCTTCCACCCGATCGCGAGCCCTCCGGGAGGCCTCCAAACGCTTCGCCCCGCTCTTGCCGTTGCGACAAACAGCGGAGAACAAAAAGGGAGAGAGACCGCAGGAAACACAGACTCATGGGACTGGCATATACCTACCAAGAGAGGTTGAGAGACCAGAACTAGGACCCTGGTCTGTGGTACATATGGGATGGGCGACAAAGGGCTGTTCAACCTCTGGTGAGATGGACTGAGGTTGGATCTTGTCCCTAGGCTTCCAAGTACCTCCTCAGAAGGTGGGACTGGGGTGGGTTTCAAGGGTCCAGTCATACCTTCGTTTCGGAGGTACGACTGGAGTCCTAGGGATATACATTGACCCCCCCGGGTGAACCACCCCAATTGATCGGCAGTCCGTCATGGCAGTCCCAAACAGGTCGTGTTTGGGCGCCATGTGTCGTAGTAGTGTCGCGTGTCTCCAGTTGCGACCTTAGCTTTCTTTGGGCGACCGGCGGTGGTGCGCACCGAAGATGCGCGGCGCGTGGAGGACCTGAAACTGCACCGATGACTGGACAAAGACTCCGGCACCGTGCCTCATGGACCCTATGGATTCACCGGTGTTTTTCCAGCACCGGAAGCGACCTCGGGGTCACCTGGCTGGTTTCGCTCGCCCCAGCCTACTATCCGGGTGTTCTCGGGCGTGGTGACTGGGGGGTCCATTTGCGGGGCTCTGGCGGTTAGGGACGGTTGGGGGGGGTGGTTGCAATACCGCTAAGAAGAATGATCAATCAAGAGCTTTTTCATAGAGCTGCCTTACAGTAATAATATCTCATTTCCCAGACACGACCTGTTTGGGACTGCCATTTTTTGCCGCCCCAGACAGACCCCAAACCCACCCCTGGCCGTGCCACTCGGTAGTCCGTCCTGGCAGTCCCAGACAGGCTGTGTTTGGGTTTGGTCAAGTGGATGGAGTGGCGAGTCACGTGACGGATTGACACTCGGCTTGCCGCAACCCCGGTTGAAGATGCCGAGCTCAGATGTTGCAACCCCTTTGAGGGCAGAACCGAACCTACGCCAAAAGCGAGCTCGATCATCCTGATAGAAGAGTTCAGTTGCTGCAACACGTTCCCTAGGCACCTCCTCAGAAGGTATGACTGGACCAGCCTGGCACCCACCCCAAACACCTTCTTAGAAGGTGCTTGGAGGTGTAGGGGTTTGTTCAAACTGGTTGATTCAGAAGTCTCGGCCAAGGTGGCCGAGAGCATTCAACCTATTTCCATGCAGGGAGGCTGGGTGAGTTTACAAACCCGCAGGCACCACAGATGGAGGCACCGTCCTACTAATGTAAACGACTCTGGATAAACCATATGAAGAGGAGGTTTTGTTAATTGATCAAGAGTACAGATGGCAACACCCCAAACCAATAAGGGGTGGGTTTCTATTTAATCAAGAGCACCCTTCGTGATCACAACCCAATCACCAAGAGTTCAAACCCCCATCACCCTCCAAACAGACCCATTTGGCTGGAAGAGCCAACTCCCTTTCCCTAACCCTCCAGTCATACCATGTCATACCTGCTCGGGTACGGGTGTTTTCATGGACCGCACCCGAAAACCTGGGCACCCAGGCCCAGGACGGTCCAAGGCGCCAGGTGGTCACATCCCGAGATGGATATCCAAGAGAGGTCAAGTGACCTGAACTAGGACCCGTAATTACTGGGGGGACCCATAGGATGGCCATGGATAGCCGAACTAGGGTTCTTCAACCTCTGTTGGTTCTTCCCATCGGATAGCGGATAGCCGAACTGGCTTACTACGTCGGGTTCTTCCACCTCTGTTAATAGCAGCATGGAACTGCTGCTCGACGTTGGCCTTTTGGCTTCATTTCCGTCAGGCCTGACATGCGTCCACCCACGCGCGGACGAGGCCGATGGGACCGGTGGATGGGACCGGGAGCGGCAGGACCGGTGGATTGGGAGGGTTGTCGTTAGACACGCGCTGGTTTGTTTCCATTTGTTTGTTTAAAGAGTCCATGGATGTCCATATAGTTTGGAATTGAACAGCTCACTCTTGATGGACTCTTGCCAAAAGCTTTGTGCATGACGTTGAATCTGGAAAGAACAAGATCCAACGACGGCGACCAGGGTGTGGGTTTTCGGTTCATCTCCTGACCTCAAGGCCACTGATGATAGATGGATTCCTGATGATCATGCTGAAATGAAGGATTTGCAAGGTGCAGATGTTGAGGCCTTTTGAACGTTGTCCGCCCCACAAGTTGGTGATATGTGATTTGTTTAATTGTGCATGTTCAACAGAACCATCAACATCTTCCAACCGCAAATCCCATTTTCGCTCCCCACACCCAAGAAAGGGCGACCAAGGCTTCGAACAGCGACGAGGGGCTCCCCTTTCGGCTTCGAATTGATGAACATGCTATGCCGCCGGACATGGCTACGATGTCGTGCTCCAGTCGTCCCTTGTGGTACCGGTGTTTGGGGTTGGTTTGGAAGGTCCGAATCCCCTTTTTGTACTTGTACTTGGAGGCCGAACGGGGATGTCAGACGCCCTTTGGCAGCCTACTTTCCTTTACGAACGAACGAGGGTGATCCGATCTGAGTCAGCGTGTAGCTGCCTTGGCAGTTTGCTTCGCCGGAGGTGGCCACGGCAGACGAAGGGAACGAACGACGCCGCTGCGCGCGCCTTTGTGCCGTTCTGTTTGTGTTTCCTGATGTTTTCTGGGGCTCCAAGCTTCTAAGAAGGTCTTCGGGGTTGGTGCCACTAGGGTCTAACTAACTACCTTCTGAGATGTGGTTGGAGACGGAGCCCTGGTTTCCTCCTGCCAAGGCACTGCGCCGCGTTTTTGGGAGCTGTGCATCGCATGGTCATTTGCTGGCACACGCTGGCGGTTCCCGAGCCAATCCCCTGCAAAAATAAATTCAAGAAAGAGCACAAAATCTAGATCGAGCTTCCAATGGATGTCCAGCCAGGGGACCTATATAGTAAGCATTAATAATGATTATATATATATATATATATACTGTATATACAATAGTTTAATTCGATTTAATTTGTACTTTGGTCATCCTGAATTCTAAGCTTCAGACATTTCCAGAATATCAGGTGACCCCGAGCAAGAACAGAAACAGGTGGTTCAGACAGGTGACCCCCCAGCTGGCGCAGGCTACGAGGAGCGCCCCGGTACTGAACTGGGCGCCGGGCTCTTCCGCGCGGGCGCGGGCGCGGGCGCTGCGCCGGCCAGGCGGAAAGTGGTGCCTTGGAAGGTAGGAGGTGGAGCATGTTGGAGCCAAGGGGGATGGAGGGAAAAGGATGAAAAGGGTGGATGTCAAACTTCATAGATCTTAGGAGGTGTGTTTTCTATTTTTCTCGCTCTCCTTGGTGATGATAGACTTGGCAGGAGAATGCAGGAGAATTCTTGGGGAACCAGAGATGGCTTCCACGCGGGAGAATGTGACTTCTTAGCTCTGCCTCGCTAACCAACTGCTTAACCAGTGACCCCAGGCCACCCCTAGCCGTAGTAAGACCCTTCAAATTCAAAGGAAAGGCTGACCTGATTAGGTCGCCGGATTTAGGAACCGGGACTCCCCAGCAATGCTTTCTTCCACTCGTCGGTCACCTTCTCAGGTCGGCGGCGACTCGAACGTCGACGTCGAAGTCGCCCAGGTTCATGTGGATCACCACCACGTGCATCATCACCATCACTTCCACGGCGCGCAGAACGTCGACGGCCGCTGGGTTGAAAATCACCGTACCTGGGAGGGCGCGGGTGAAATCAGTGGTTGAAAGAGGGAGAGGGGTGCAGTATGGTGCAGTCAGTTTTGGGAATCGCAGCGAATCGCAAGGAGTGCCTGGAAATTCAGGTTCAGATCTTGCCAGGATGGCCCCGTTTGGGGTGTCTATTCGTTGCCCCGGAAAGAGGTGATTCGTAACCACCAAAACAACCAGGCGGCTTTGGTCGCATCACCCCTGAACCAGCCTTAACCTCTAAAATCGGCGCCCACCTCCAACGCCAGAGGACTGCTGACCAGTGCTCAAAATGGGCACACGGGTGGGAACTCCTTGGTTTTGTTTCCGAAGCTGGGTTCCTGTGTTATCTAGGAAGCCTCATTTGCTGGCTCATTTCAGAGGAAATGCCGGAGAAGTTCTTCGATGCATGCAGCAAGGACAATTCGATTTTGAAGATGAGTACCTTGGTATCCTTGCTTCTGATTTGCGGCCATTAGTTGATGCAGCCTTGAATCCTCGGCAGTCGGCTGACTCCAGTGGATGGAGGCAGGTCACCGGAATGCAGAAACACCATGACCCAATCGATGAGACTACTCTCTGCCATATGGACATTTTAGGCTTCTATGACCTGTTGATTGACATGGTGGACTTTGCAGATCGACGATTTGCCTCTGGTTGGTATCTCCAGAAGGCCTCTGCTAGGTACAGAAAGCAACACCTCTTGGCAGCTATTTGCAGCTGCAAATTAGCTGGTCTGATAGAAGTGGTTGCCAACCAGCTTGAAGACAGGATTCTGCAGGGTCAAGATGTATTGGGAACAGTGGCAGAATCTGCGCGACAAATCCAAGAGATGCTTCGACGCCCTTTCTTCAACAATGTCAAGGTCAGAGGAGCATTCCAAGCAATGGGCATTTGTCTCCAGAGATATGGCAACTCAACAACCATCACCTGGAACAGGAAGACTCTCGCTTATGATGATATGCTTGCAGGCGAGATAATAAACGCTTTGGCGTTTTATGCCGGTTGCGACATGACGTCTTTGGTGCTCTTTCCCGACAGCTGCAAGTCTGAATACTTGTATGAGTTCAGAACAGAGCTGATGTTGCAAGCGTTAGAACTGTCCAGCAGCTTCGACATGGAATCTGCTATGTCTGTGGCAAGAAAGAGGCATTGTGCTTGGTACGCTTCCTTCGCAGACCTGTCAAAGTCTAGAAGGGAGACAAGCAGGTGGCAGGAATTGACTGTTGCCAAATGCCATTGGAACGATAGAAGCTTCTGTTGGGAAGAGCAGAGCATTAAAGCACTGATCGACAGGATAGACAGCATCCGCGACAACCATGGGCTAGCTGCTGGGGAGCTGTTTGCGAAAGTCTCCCATGGAAGTCCTGCACTGGGAACACAGCCACACCGGTTCCTTGTGAATGAGTCTCGAAGGAGATCTTTGCCTTCCTGCTTAAATGAATTGGACTTTGCAGTCTGGACAAAGATCTTCATTGCTTTCCGTGTGATGGGAGAATGTCTTTACCCGACTTCAAACCCTTCTTTGTCACGTCAACGATTGTCGCGAAGACATGCCGTGTTTGAAAGACTTATCTCAGAGCGAGCGCAGCAGCCGCATTGATGCGACCGGTTGGGCGTCGCAGCTAGAGGGAGCTTCAGCCGTGGATAAGGCCACCCTCTTGTCCGAGGCTGCCCCTGGTGCCCGGGCATTCCTGACCTGTGTTCCTTCCGGACGGACCCAAATGGAGCCCGCTCTGTTCACTGCTGAGTTACGGGTGCGCCTTCTCCCTGAATCCAGTACTGATGCTTGGTGCCCCAAATGTGACGCCATCCTGGACAGCCATGGGCACCACGCTGGCATGTGCATTGCAGGCGGTGAGCGCACCCTCCGACACAATGCTCTACGTGATTTGGTTTACCCGTGGGCTGAGCGAGGATGTCTCCGCCCGGAGCGGGAAAAAGCCGGCTTGCTTTTGCCGCAGCGGCCAGATGATGTGAGCAGTGCCCGTCGAAGGCGTCCTACCGCACTTGACTTCGCCGTTACGGCGCCCCAGCGGGTGGACGTCTTAGGTTCGCAGGGCGGGGCTTCGGCTGCCTCGGTGTACACCGACCACAAAAAGAGGCACCTGGATACAGCAGCTGCTTGCAAGGCCCAACATGTGGAGTTTCTGCCATTGGTTGCCGAGACCACGGGCTTGGGCGCCCGAAGCCGCTATAAGGCCCTTGACCATATCAGCCGTGCAGGTGGGGCCACCTATGGAAGCACTTTGCTTCAGGAGGCCTGTGTGTTGATTCGAACTCGGCGGGCCCGGGCGGCTCTGCGAAGACGGGCTGAACTGGAAACCTAGCCCTGGTGGCTCTTGCGCTTCACCCTGGAGCTCCTCTCCGTCGCCTTCTGAGAGCCGCCGCTTCTTTGTTGGGAGCGCAGTGGTGGGAATGCTTGGTTGCTGCCCTGTTTTTGCTCCCGTGCCTTTTTAAACTTCCAGAGAGATGGAGTCAGCTGCTTTTTCCTTTGGGTCCCTACTTATGCTCTTTGGCTGCAGGGCAGTCCCCACATGGGGTTACCCTTTGCGCCGTGCACAGACCTCGTTTTTCCTCACCCAGCGCTGGGTAATCGGCCTGTACAGTACATCTACCATTAAGCCGTATCTAGTCTTTCCTCAGCGCTGTAGAGTCGATGTGACATTCCAACGTTTCATTCGTTGGTGTAAGGAGTTTGATCTACTCCCGAGGATCATTTAGAGGCATCGCACTCGAGGACTTCTTTGGTCTAATCCTTCCCTCCGACCTTACTACTATAGTATAACAAGAAGCTATATGGGCTCCTGGCATCGCTACTTGGAGCGATCGGACGCTGCGAACGAGGCTCCTGGCCTTACTACGAACGGAACAAGGTTCGCATCCCTCCGCTGCGCCGCCTCCCAGGCCTGCCCAGCGACGCCAGCGAGCTGCGCCGGCACGAGCTGTCGGCGGAGCACCAGGCGGAGCAGCGCCTGGAGCCGCGGTCCGTGGCGCCGAACACCGCGCGGCCCAGCCGCGGGCACCGGCAAGCTGCGGCGCGGAGGCAGAGCGGAGAAGTGGAATGGTGTGGGTTTGGAGCTTAACTCGCAAGGCTTTTCACATATCGACACGACCTGTTTGGGACTGCCATAGGACTGCCGATTTGGGGTGGTCTGTCATATGCCGCCCCAGACAGGCCCCTTTGGCACCACCCCTGGCCTGCTCGGTCAATATACCAGTTCCATTAGTCGTGTCTGGGTCATATTCAAGGTGGGTCAGAACCGTTCGACTATGCCAGGAGTCCCGGTACCCCAGGTTTTCCGGGTCCTATGAAACCGGTCACTTATATACCCTAGGGCTCCAACCATATCCTCAGAAGGTGGTTAGACCCCCCAAACCCACCCCAACCATTTTCTCAGGAGGTGGTTGGAGCCCTAGGGAACCTCTCTTGGGTTGTCATGTTTCGATCGGGACCGTCCCCAATTCCGTCCTCCCGACCGGTCCATCGGCCAGGGCTGCACGATCGCGACAGGTGCGGACGGGTTCCAACGACGAGAACAAACGACGGTAAGGACGGGAACGACGGGTATCGCAGTCCATGGGTGGTTTTGGAGGGTTTTTGTTTTGCTTACTCATGTGATCTTGTGTGTTTGGTGTTTGGTGTGTGCACGAAGCATCCTTTGTAACACTGATTTCTGGCGAGCCATGGTTTGGAGCACTTATTGGAAGTTTGAGCGTTAATGAGGGTATGTGCACTTTTCAGGACATGAGCGCTTTTTGGTGTTGTAAATTCTAAAGCCTACTGGTTCCTGACCAGTGTCCTTATCAACCCTTGTGGGCCTTTGGGGGGCCCTATGGACCGGGTGGAAATCCTATATGACCTCTCCTAGTATGTGCAAATGAAACCACAAAGGTTTGGTTCTAACCTTCTGGGGGTGCCTTACAACAATTTTTCCAAAAAGGGTGCCCGCAACTTGGGCGCAAATTCCCACAACCCGGGCGCAATTTTAAAAAGTTGCGGATGGTTTGTTTACTTAAATCTTTTATGTTGATACTGAAGATCAAAGAAAGGGGTTGCTGGCTGCCCCTTCGTAGTGTGTGAGCGTGTGTTGTGTGTGTGTGTGCATGGGATGGGTGCCAGCATGTGGCAGGGGAATGGACTTGAAGACCACATAAGGTGGAGTGAAGCTACATCAGCTACATCTGACTTTCCAGTGGTACGTTTTTTCAAGGCATGAACGCTTTTTGTTGATGATGTGCAGTTTTTTTTTTGTCACCTTTTTCTATTTTTTTCTGCTACGACGGAGGGTTCAGGTGTGCTTGTTGTTTGCATGTTTTTGCTTCAGTTTGTGTGTGTGCACCTGAAGGATCTGAGGCTCACGGCTCACCAAAACGTCTCACGTACTGTCGTACCGTAGGTCCAAAATGCCCCCCAGGGATCCTATTTCCCCCAGGGATCCGTTTTCGTACCGAACCTCAGGTACGGTGAGGAAGGAGAGACTGTTATTGGCCGGTGCCGTCGGGTCCAGCCGTACCTGAGAAGGTACCACTGATCCTGAAGGAATGCAAATATGCCTTATCATGTTTGATGTTTTTTTTTTGCAATACATGTTTATCGTACCATTACCCAGACACTCTGCATGTATGGAATATATGCCTACATTGACCCCCCCAAATCACCCCAATTTATGCATATATGGCACGCATGGAGCGTTTGGGTTATGATTGTAGAATTGTCGATTGCCAAATTTGAAATACTTTAAGATTGATTGTGTTGCAGTTGCCGAATTCACGTCGTCCTTCATACCTGCTGAGTGAGGACGAAACATTCCTAAGGATCTAACTGACGGTGGTTGCTTGCTCTAGTTTTTTTTCCAATTTTATCAATCCTGGACAGCTGATTATTCAGATTCAACAATTCTCTAGCCTTATATAAATAAAAGACCCATACGAATTATATCAAATGATTAAAGAAAGGTTGACCTGGTTTCGAAGTCAAAATTCCCTAGAACAACAAGGGGTTCTTAGGCAAAACACCCATCAATCAATAAGGCTTTTGGACTCCTACGTGCCTGCTGTTCTCAGCAGTGGTCCTCTATGTAGCCCCCCCCCTTCCCACCAAACGCTGCCAGCCCTACCGGGGTGCTTCCATTTGAGACCTCGGTCTCTTTTTCTCTCCGGCTCCTGGCCTCGATGGTCGGTGTCGCGGTCGGATCAGGTGGACTTCGAAAGTTCCTTGACCTCGGAACTGGGTCGCTTGCAGACCAGCACCTTCAGCACCTTCGGAGGTGGACATATGGGCGAAATTCGGATGGTCATGAAGGATGATGGAGGCTGTATGAGGTAAGTGGTAAGCGGTGTGGTTCAACTGAAGTGAAGGTTGTTAGACAAACTTACTTGCAGCACCTGCCTGCAAGATAGGTGACTTTGTTCGTCTGAAGGGGAGAGGGGACGGGATGAGAGATAAAATCTCTCAAGAAGTAGCTGGAAGTTTGGCAGAAATATAGAAGTGCCTTATTGCCGTATCGGGCCCATTGGTTCAAACAGGTGGCTTGTATCAGGCAATACGCCAGTCGTTTTCTACACCAGGCCTGGACTCGTTCCATCCACCTGCTAGGACTGCATAGCCTCGCCTGCCCTGGACTCGTTGGGCCCCCAATTTGGAAGATCTCAGTAGCTGAACATCGCGAAGTTTTGGTCGTTGTTGGGCTCCACTGAGGGGTGGCATATATATGCCATGGTCTGAGGTCACGAGGTGTGGCATATGTGGCAGTTTGACAACACCTTCAATACTTGAAGATGCCCTCATCAAAAAACTTGGATAGAAGTTAGAAGAAGAACAACATCATTGGGCAGTGCACTTCAGCGTATTGACGTCAAAGACCTAAACCAGGACCCTCCAACAGGTCACCACCTGCGACTTTGAAGTCATCGGAGACCCATACCCACACAGCATCGTCTCCTAAATTGCACGAAAGTACATGTAATTACACCGCTTCGGCCTGTTTTGGGACTGTCACATGTTGGTTGACCTGGGGTGAATGGGACTTGCATATCTTCCCCTACAAGTCCAGTTTGACCCGGTAAAACCCGGTCTTTCACCTCCTTGGTCTCGTAGTGAATGTGTGACCGGAGTCCAGGTATTTCAGGGATCGGTCAGTTGACCTGTGTAGGGTTCCAGGCATTTTTCGTGTCCGGGGAACCACCCGACTCCGAACCGCTGCAGGAGCTCCGGTGGATCTCGCCTCCAAGGCGAGTCTGAAGGGTGGAACTCCCCGCGAGCAAGTCTTAAGGGTGCTGGGAGAAAACGCCAGCGACCGGACCTTTGCATGGTGGTTTTGGGTTTTGGTTTTCTCTCCCTTCTGGGATCCAGTCGTACCTTGTCAGAAGGGAGACGATTTTGGTCGGTGCCTGGGTCCGGCCCAGTCGTACCGAACCTGAGAAGGTATGTGGATCCCCAGGGTTTGCAGGTTTCTTTTTGGTTGTTTTCGGGATTTGAGTGCTTAGGGATGTTGAACATGATGTTCCACATGCGGTCGGTCTTTCCCTCTTCTATAGGGAATATTAAAGGAGTATTTCCGGTATTTTCCGGTATTTGTTGTATTCCCTAGGGCTCCAGTCGGACCTTCTTAGAAGGTGGGACTGGGGTGGGTGCCAGGAGGGTCCAAATACCTTCTAAGGAGGTACGACTGGAGCCCTAGGGGTAAGATGTTTTCCCGGCTTTTCGGACAGCAAATTTTCCTAGTTGTTCTGGTAGGGCCGCGGGAATAGATTCTTGGGCGTTCAAATCAACATGAGGTTCAGGATGGTTCAAAGTAGATGGCCGAAACCAAGCGCCAGACCTGATGAAAGGCGAGTGAAAAAGCGCTCATGTCTTCATGGTTCCATGTTGGCAACCTGAGAAATCCTCACACCTGATGATCAATCTAATTATTCCTTGCCAGTCATTTTGTGGAGACTTTATCTCTTGCCATTTGACATCATGTCTCCATATATAATGCCCGGCAAGTGATCCCAACCATCGTTCACGGGGGATATTGTGTCATCTACATGGTGCTCCTCAATCTACATGTGTATTCCTCTGTCGGCGGCTATACTCAGAATAGCCTTTGGAAGGCTAGGGTGGTGTTATTCAGTCCGAAATGCTGTTATTCGGTCGTGTGAACAGAAGCTGTTGGTAACTGGACTTCCGTCCCGCCAGCCCTACTGTCTACAGACCCTATACAGAACAAGACACATGGACCTGCAAACATTCCAGAAAACATGGCCAAAATGGAACTCTCACCACGGAAGTCCGAGATGAAGGCAGGTGGCAGATGCGGAGGAACTAGCACCCCAACACCCACCCGTAGAGGTCGAGGTCGTCGGCCGTTTGCGGGATGTTCCACGTCACTGGACGTTAAGGACCAAAGGACCACGCGGCCCAGACCGTCAGACGTTCCGAAGCTCTGAAAGCCACGGGTTGGGAACCGTATAGTCCCCTCCCATAGGGTCCAGGTACCTCCTGAGGATGGCCTTGGAGGTGAAAGTACTTCCTGAGAATGGTCTTGGGGGGGTCAAAGGACATCCTCAGGATAGTCCTGGACCCTTAGGGCCTGGGATCCAGTCATACCGTACCTGAGGTTCGGTACGGCTGGACCCGACCCTGTCAACATAACAGTGTGTCCTTCAAAAACCGTACCTGAGGTTCGGTACGAAAACTGATCCTTAGGGAGTTTCAAGAAACACAAAAAATTACACGCATCACGCCAACGCTTCCGCGTTGGACTGGACTGTCCGGACCGGCACAGGCCTCCTGTTTCATGGCCACCTCCGTGTTGGAACGGGAGAGGTGCAGAGTGTGATGTCACACTCCAGCTGTGTTTCTTTCTGACAGGGCCGAGACCTGTGAGACCTGTGAGACCATGGTATTCCCTAGGGCTCCAAGTACCTTCTTAGAAGGTGTTTGGGGTGGGTTTAGAGGGTCCAAATACCTTCTAAGGAGGTACGACTGGAGCCCTAGGGATTATGTTCCTCCATGTTTCGCACACGGATCCTTTGGCCCCGTTCGGTTCTCGCGACGAGGTCGGTCACCTGGCTGGTTGGGGGATCTCCCGGAACCCAGAATGCCCATGTGGGACGAGTAGTAAGGAACTAGCACGACACCAGCGACATCGTGGGAACAGTTTGGAGCATCTTGGGCTATCCAGATGGGAATGTCATGCCGTCCCCAGACTCAACAGCCCTGGCTCCCTCAAAAACCTATAGGAATTGTTTCGGCCCCAGACCCCTGACCCAAGGATTCGGGGGATTCGGGTCACCGTCGGGTCGCTGGTGGTTGGAAGGCAAGCCCGGTGACGTCGCGGGTTGGGGGAGGGCTGGGCGGCTTGGGGGAGCCCAACGTGTGGCCGCCGTTCGGGTTGTCAAGTAGTTACCCTATAGAAGTCCAAAGACTATGAAATTCATAGGCTGAATCCCGAACCTTCAAGGATTTTACACTACAAAAAAACCTGATTCAACCATTGTTTTATTGGTCTTGGAAGTCTAGGGGTCACACAGCCGCACACTTGAAGCCGTACAGGCAGGGCAGACCCGGAATCGAACGTTCACGCCAGGAAGACACCTCCTGAACTTCAACTTCAAGAATATTTTGAGTTGATGAGCTCGTTGCCCATGGAGACCCGCCTCAAGCTCTCGCCCTATTCGGTTCAGCTGAGCAAAACAAAGTAGTGCCGGAGAGATGTCGCAAGCAGCGCGGCTGTTCGCTGTGATCTTGTGCTGGTGATCAGTTTGAACGTTGAATTGCCACAGGGACGGCTGAAGAGACATCGAGCAGATACATGTTTGGCACTAGAACTTGAGCAATGGCCTGGGTGTGTTCAGATTTAGATATCTACTTCAATCATGTTCAATCTACCACTGGGGGTCATCGAGGTCATGTCTCAAATCTCGACAACCTTGCCATCCTCCGCATCCGCCACCAAGCCGCAGCTTCTTGTTTCACCTACGTGCCTCGCAGAAATCGCCGGGGGGAAAAAGGCATTGTGGTGCTGCTTGCCGGTGGTCTTGGGTCCTCAGAACTCTATCAGCAGTGCCTGCCGTTTTCTCTTGCACCATAGGCTTGACCACTGGTGGTCCCAATTCAACAAGCTCAGGCTGGAAGTTTTGAGGATGCATCATGACAAGAACCTGCATTGCCTCATCATTATCTCTATATGTACTATATGATACCTGCATGGGTATTTGGAGTATCCAGAGGTTGGATCCATCCGTGGATAATGTTTGTGAGATCCCCTCCCCAGTGGGGTGTAGAAAGTGAGGTCTGGTTTTACTTAAAGTGATCGCAGTGTTATTTTCCTTATGGTCAATCATGTCAAATCCCCTTTCTGGTAAATTTGTATATATTGTTTTTTGTCCATGTTCTTTAAGCAAATCCTTCAGGAGACCGTGAGTGAGTTCACCCGCGGGCTCAAGCGCATCGATTTCGCCTCGGCCGGCGTAAGGCGGCGCACGTAAGGCGGCGATCCTGCCCGCCGCCCTTGTCGATCCTGCCCGCCATGGCGCATGAGGCACTGGAAGAAGGAAGTGAATTCCTTTTGGACTGGCAGAAGTTGCTTGGTGGGACCGAGTATAGCGGAATCTCTTGAGACTGATCAGTGGCTTTCTGACTGAGCTGAGCTCCCCACCCCGGTCGTCTCGGAGTTTTTGGATTCCAGGGTCGACGGTCGACACGTTCTGTGTTGGTTGGATCACTTTGAGGCACTGCAACAAGAGGAATATATTGGGCACATGTGTTACTTTCTATTGGCACCAGTAGAAACCCATCTCGAAACCTCAACCGTAAATGTTTCAGTAGCAGATCCTTTCCACTCCAAGGCTTCCATCAAAAGGCTGGGTCTTCTTCAGAATGATGCATTCTTGGGGACATGTTTTTCTTCTTCGAGACATCACAGAATCCGGTAGACCAATTGGTTGGACCCAACATCTTCCAGCTGCGGGCGGCTGTCGGCCACCGTGTGGGACGGCTGGTGACGCGGCTGGGAAAACGAGTAGACGTCTTCCGCCGACGAGGGCGAAGAGTCTCCAAACACCGTCAGTGACGGAATATGAGGAAAAGCCCTAGGGCCTAGGGCTCCTGTCCCACCTCCTCAGGAGGGTTTGGTGGTATTCGACCCTGGCACCCACCCCTGTCCCACCTCAGGAGGTGGGCCAGGAGCCCAAACGAATACCGTCCTCAAGGGGGTTCTTGATAGTCCACCAGTGGCGCTGTTTCACCAGGGCCGGAGATGAGGACGTGCTGCCACCGTGGACGCTCGGTACTGGCGTGAACACGAAGAATCCCATGAAAATCCCACCGCCGTACCCTACAAGTCCAGTTTGACCCAGTAAAACCTGGTCTTTGACCTCCTTAAGTAGTGGTTTTGTATGACCATCCGTAAAATGAGGTCAGACTGGCTTAGCGGAGTTCTGCGCGGCTGCCGGAGGGCATCACGATCTCTCTCAAACCTCGGTCAAGAACAGGTGCCGTTGTCCAGTCGTATTGCGGTGGGGGCCGTTGTCCCACTTTCCTGGATTTGCTTATAGGTGATATCCCCAGATGATATCCATCCCCAGCCTGGTGCATATCACATTTTACCCCTTCTCTGGGCTTCCTGGGAGCCGCAAATCCAAGTGAGGCTGAAGAAGGTGGCACTTTGTGAGTCACCGGTGGTCCCTGTGGCCGTGCAACACGCCGACACCCTCGAGCTGCTCATCGTCGCCTTCGCCAACGAGCAGGTACGGGACGCTGATGACGAACCGGGACTCACTGATGGTTGAGCTTAAGTTTATGGACCATATAGAATGTCCTAGGGATACATATGAATTAATTAATATATATATATATTGTTCATATTATATGTTTTTAATAAATAAGAGCATGTTTGATGCATAAGTCTATGGACCATTGAATATCCGAGAATATCCTAGTGATATGTACTTGTGTTCACCAGGGATCACCAGGGCTTGGTTTCATGTACTGTATATTCGGCCCGATTTGGAGTCTGGAGGAAGTGATTCGGAGGCTGGAGGGATCCAGTTCTCCTTCACCACGTAGTTGGTGAACTATAGTTTGTGATTTCAGTTGTTTTTGATGTTCAACCGCTACCCAGTCATGATGACTCCCAACTGTCACACATAGGGTGGGTGGAAGCCACTAACCTCACCGCATTAGATTGCTTTCTCCTGAATTTGATCACTGCAACTATTAGTCAAATATTGCCGACAGCTCTTGTATGCTGAATTGATCCTGTTAGCTGTATCCTTACCGGTTCCCTCACAGATACAGGGGACCGCGGCGACCAGCTGCTTTGGATGTCCCCCCTTCAGTGAAGATGTGCGTCTCCTGGTGATTCTCATTCTGGGGAAGTCTGGGGAACTATTCTTCCCTGGTTCCTTGTTCGCACTCTCATATCCCACACCATCCAAACGGTTCTGCCTCCACAAATGCCTTCTCCGTGGGAGGCACTGCTGGAAACCTTCCGGAGGAAGGTCTGTGTGCTCTGGAGCACCTCCCGAAACAAGCTTTGGATCAAGGGTGAGACCTCTGGAGAGCTTTGGCAGCCGCATCGCGCATCGCAGGCTGCCCAGGTGAGGTGGTTGATGTGGTTGTGGCTTTCCTGAAGAGGCAAAAAAGAAACGCACATGCGTGGGGTGGTTTGGGGGGGTCACTGTAGGCATATATTCCATACATGGAGTGTTTGGGTATTATATTATATATTCCCTACGCCTCCAACCATATCCTCAGGTTCGGTGGTTAGACCCCCAAGACCGCCCACCCCTGAACCATCTTCGAAACGGAGGCGGGCTGTTCGGAGCCCAAACGGGATGATGATGTTTGCTGTTTCACTTCCTGACGAGTTGTTTTCTACATGTTCGCTTCAGAAATGGGAGATTGAACATCCCAATCACTGATGAAGTAAACAAGTGGGGGTGTGAGCGAATGGGGGGTGTGCCTGTTGAGTCTAGACGGAGCTGCTAGGTCCAATGCGGACACTACCCTGCCCCAGAGAGGAGGTCAATGGTCAAATGTGCCAACCCGGTGATTCTTGGGTCGAAGGGCAAACGATCAGTCCCAGGGCAGTCCCAGTGGTTCCAGTTCGACTAAAACCAGTTCGACCGGTTACGAAGCCCTGGTTCCTTACCAAGAGAGGTATCCAGTGACCTGAACTAGGGCCTTACTGGGGTACCGAACTGGGATAGTCTATAGGGTTCTTCAACCTCTGTTGGTACTACTAGTGGGAACTGCCTGGGATCCGGGATCCGGTAGGACACTCTGCTCGCCTGACTGGCTTCACTCAGCACCGACTCGACCGGGTTTTGGGCCGTCGGCTTAGGGTCTTTTCGACCACCCATAGGGTCATTGGGTGGTTCATGGACAATCCGAATCACCTCTGGCCAAGAAGCTCCCTAAGGGTCCAGGACTATCCGAATCGGATGTCCTTTGACCCCCCCAAGACCATTCTCAGGAAGTACTTTCACCTCCAAGGCCATCCTCAGGAGGTACCTGGACCCTATGGGCCTATGATAGACACCCCATGGCTATGGATAGGGTCCTTCCTGTGTTTCATGTTTTCAGCCCGAGGATGTTCTGGACTTGGTCGAGATCCGTGTGAACTGTGAGCAGAACCTCGTTTGCATCGGGATTCCAACGGCCAGGAGGTGGCTATTGGACCCACTTGAAGCAGGACCCACATTGGACCTTGAAACAGGTAGGACCTTGTGCTGGATGTATCTTCCATGACCTGCGCGATGTCACTGACCCAGCTCGCTCTTCAGTCGCTTCGTCGCTTCGGTGTGTCTAAACCAACCAAGCTTTTCACGCAACAAAAAACCTGGGAAGCACCGAACTTGGAACGGTCTTGCGCTTACGCCCGCAGCCGTTTGGAACGGTTGTTTTTTGCAATATCCATGCGCCAGGAATCCCGTCACGATGGGAGCACCACCTGTGAGTTACACCCAGGAATATTCACATGGAACCTGAAAATGGACCTTTGGAAACTTTGGAAGACTATTTTCCTCTACAAACCAGTGGTTTTCAGGTTCCATGTTAATCTTCCAGAGTGTAATAACCGCTTATTGGACCACCATTGTTTACACTATGACTCACTAACATGGAAGTGGATGGCATGGCCCCTTTTCCTTTACAAACAGGGGGTGACCTCCACTTCCATGTTAGTGAGTCGGAGTGTAACTAATATTAGGATTTTGGCACTACAAAACCAGGTCGAGCATGTTTTAACTAGTCTTTGAAGGCTAGAGAGTTGCTTGTTTCTTTCAAGTGAATTTTCCAGGTTTGCAACCGATTGAGTTCCCTAAGCCTTCAACCTTTCCTTGGACCATGAACACCAGTCCCCAATCAACCAAAAGTCTTTCATTTTGCAGCACCACGGATTCCGGGTGTCCCTTGGACATGGCCGCCTAGGGCCTACAGGTCATTCGGGGCATCCATTCATCATTTGCGGGTCCAGGTTCATGTCCCGTTTGGGCTCCTGTCGCACCCTCTAAGAAGGTGTTTGGGGTGAGGGTCCAGTATACCTTCTGAGGACGTAGCATCTTGGAGCATCTTGGAGCCCTATAGGGAATCCAATCAAAAGCTCGGCACCAAGCCCACAGCGCAGGACGGTTTTCTCACACCCAAACTTTTGTGGTAGAAGCCTCAGCTGTGGTAGATGCGTTTGTCCCAGCCGTCAGGAACTCTTTGCTCTACTTGGTTCGCCCACACCGGACGGGTGCCTGTCACACGAAAGATGCAGAGGGTCACTCTCGGCCCTCCTGCTACTATCGAAGACTGAAGTGGCCGGAGGAGGGCATCCCTGATGGGGACCTGTCCGAGATGCTCAAGAGCCTGGTCCGCAATGCTGTTGGATGCCCTTGATGTTTACAGATATATTTAGGGACCAGGTGGACTTGAACACCAGATAATGCATGGGGCTTCCTCTTGGGATTTCCAAATTCACGTTTTTTTAAGATTTGTTTGCCTTTTGGTTGTGCGGTTACACTTGTAGCTTTGGGTGCTTGGTTGGGAGCCACTTACGGAAGGTTTCAGGATGTTTCAGGTATCATCTTCTATACTAGTCTTTTTACTTACTGTATCTTACTGTAATGGATATATAGCCGTCACAGAGTCTATGATATCAGTAACAAAACACATGGTCTATAAAAAATCGGTGTTTCGTCACGACGGCAGAACTCAACGCAACAATTCTCGGCAGGTAAGTAGCCGGGTCAGCCTAGCCGTCACATAGTCTATCATATCGAGTCGATGTGGTTCTGCCCTCGCAAGGAGATCCTCACTGGAACACCTCGCAGCGCCGCACGAACCTCCGGGACCCCACAGCACGAGCGACTGCGTGAGGGGCGAGTGAGCTGCGTGGCGGAGCCCAAAAAGCGGAGCGGCCTGAGGGATCCAACACAAACTGGTCAGAAGGGGTGATTCCCTAGGGATCCAAGTACCTTCTCAGAAGGTGATTGGAGACTGTTTATGTAGGTTTGGAGGGTCCAAGTACCTTCTGAGGACGTACTTGGATCCCTAGGGATTGGAGACACTGTTGGGTGCCAGGACGGTCCAGCATCACCGAACCTGAGGTTCGGTGCGTACGACTGGACACCGAGGCTAGGGCGACACATTCCGTAAACACTCCCTGAAACTGACGCGGTTGAGTGGATGGCATTGCCCCTTGGAAGACCATTTTTTGTACAAATATGTGACCTCCCATGTCATCTCCAGGGAGAGCACCTTGGATTTTGTAAATCTTCCAGCAACCTTGATTGCATTCGATTTGGCAGCGTTGCTTTGCGGCGGAAACATTTGCCTGGGCAACCTCTTCATCGCCTCTTAAATTGACGACTCGTCCCCGGACGTCGAGGTCACGTCTAGTCGACAGTTCGAGGTCTTAAACTGAAGGTCCCGGTTTGGGTAGTGGTGACCGGTGGCTTCCTGAAACTTTGGGTGGACCACTAGATGGGTGTGCATTTCAAGAGGGAGACCCCTACCCAATGGGTAGACGGTAGACTGGTCTATTTATGTCTATTGACCTTCCCAATGGGTCATCGCTCGTGCCTCACTCCACTCGGCTTGTTGGAAGTTCGTGGCTCAGGAGCTTTGCTGCCACTGTGGCTCAAAGTGTTTCGTGCAAGAAACGCTCTCTCTCTCCGCTGCAGGGCATGGTCTGGAGCCTCAAGGGCAGACGGAGCTGCGCAGCACATGAGTCGGCTGACCAGGAGAGACACCCAAAGATTGAACATAACCAATAGTTAGTATCCATCATTATATATGATATCAATATTGTATGATATGTTCGTTGAGTAAACGAGATAACGGTGTTTGTTTTTTTGAAGCCAACAGTATGGCGCCCGTATGCGTTGAATGTTGATTACCGTAATAACACCCTCCATTGGGATTGAGTATCTCAGTTGGATCCAGGAATTCTCTAGTTGGTTGTGGCTACATCCCTGAAAGAGTAATGGAGGTGGAAACGATCACATACTATCACCTGTTAGTTAGATCTGTTAGGTCTTCGACAAAGGGGGGTCATCCGAACTCCAAGCCATCGTCACCATCCACGTCACCATGCATGCTTCGAGTTCTAGAATCCATGTTCTCTCCCCGTTTGGCGTCGATCAGACGGAGGATGCACGGACGCGAGACCTTCCTGTCGTCCCCCAGGGCAGTTTGGGGTCCAAGCGAGCTCCGCCTCCCACGATGAGCACCACGGAGGCGCCGCCCGTCCCACGCGTCCGGTCCCGAGCTCCGCCGGAGACGACGGTCGACCAGGGCGCTTCGGCCTGGTCGTTGCAGACCGAAGGGGTTCGGAATCCTCCGAGGTACATCAACCATGAAGCATCCTATGAAGTGCGTGCATGCGTCATTCATGGCTCGAATCATTCCGATCAATTGAGAGATGGTACCAGCATGCACCAACTTAACAAAAAGACTCCAAACAGCACTCGATTCGGATTCAGAGACGAGGATCCGGATATCAGACCATTTTATCGGGAAGGGTTTACCACGACTGATCACGACTGCGACCAATTCTTCACCGAAACGACATGATATATTTTCATGTATTTTCCTGGACCCGGATGTCATGGCACTAACCCCAGTCCCACCGAACCGAAAAAAAGGTTCGTACGACTGGAGCCCTATAGGGAAGGTGAAGAAACCATAAACACCCCATCGTTGCTACGATAGGCACAGTTTCAGTGGTACCTTGTACCACGATTGTTTTTTGATTTGTTTTGAGTATGTTGTTTTAGCTTTAGTTGGTCTAGCAGCTGGGTTGGAAAGCTGCGCAGTTTTCAGGAATTTGTCTCAGTATAGCTACATTTGGTGCCTGCTGTGGAGTACTAAGCCTTAAGGAGGGTATGCTACCATCCAAACTGGTCTGATGGGCTCTACGGGTACCAGTCCCTACCCAGCCAGTGGTTAACCTGCAAAACCTTTGGTTGGTTTCTCTTCCCAGACGACGACCACATCATTTGCAATTTGGAACAGAAGACTTCATGTAGACTCTTGACTAAAATTTACACCCTCGTATGAAGAGGAGGTGGTTTTGCGCAAGACGTCTACTCTGCCCAATGGCGAGAAGATAGATTACAAACGCGTGGCTGAGCTGGCTTACTTAGAGTTCGCTTCAGGCAGAATCGAGAGAAAGAGTAATGCAGAGCAGGAGATTCGAAATCGGATCGGTCCTACAGTTCCACTTGTCTACCCAACATGGAAACATGAGGCAAGTGAAGCAAAGTTCGATAAAAAGTTCTTTGAACATGTAAAAAGGTGGCGTTCAGTGTCAAAGGTCGTTGTGGAGTCAAGAGAAATGATATGGAAGACGTTCAGCTTGGCACGCTGATGGGAAGACAAAAGAACGTTGGTCATATGGTTCAAATGCAGATGATATCAGGCTGGAGAGGCTGAATAGAAAAGCTGCATTGGAAGTGAAGAGTTTTGCAACATTTATGGAAAAGTTGGAAAAGCAGTATCAACAGACAGTACGTGTTGACAACTTCTCAGAGATTCCATTTCTAGAGGCTAGTGGGAGTGAGAAGTATGAAAATGCTAAAGGCAGACTGTTGCTTGCTGCAGATCTTGAAAGCTATGAGAGGCAGAGTCTATTGGCAAGTCGTTTTGAACATTGTCTACAAAAGGCTGAAGTGACAGGACATCCGACACAGGAAGCAGAGGCATCACGCCATTTATTGCAGTTTTACACAGGATTTTCGAAAAGGAGAGCAGAAGGTAAGAGCTGTTACTCTGGCAGCTTGGACTGGGCAGACTTTAAATTGCATCTTAAACCAAAGCATCAGGTGATGCTGCTGGAAGCAATAGTTGAACGTGTATTGCTTGACACAGAAGATGAGGAAGCAAGAGAGTTTGTCCGAAAGCTGTTTAAGGTGGAAAAGACAGCTATATTGAACCAACACTTCGCAATTTGACAAACGAGTTTCTTTGCAGTCCAAGGTGAGTTCTCTGGAATTCGCTTGACAGATTGCTTTAACACTATGGCAAATCTTGTCTTTGATGATTGTGAAGGACCTGTGGAAAGATGCAATAAATGTGGGCATCCTGACAGCTCTGATGAAGTGTACGCACATTGGAGATGATTTATCAGTACAACCAGTGTCAGGATTTCCGGCAATGATAGCCTATGGGCTTGCAGCTTTAGGCTGTAAGCTCAACGGCATCAAGTAGTACCTCTCAACAAAGCAAGTTGAATTCTTACGACGGTTGGTGGGCTGTGAAGGAATCCATTCTTTCAAGAATCGTTCTATCGGCAACCTCAACGCCCCTCCTGTACAGCGCGAGGTTGAAGACTTCATCTCACTTCGAGCTTCATAATGTTTGAAAATTGGGGAGGTTCAGCGCAGAGGTGCTAGCTTGCATGGAGTGAGTGCTTTAATTGATGTGATTAGATCGAAAGCTGTAGATGGCTATGAGGGGTCAAAGCAGCAGAACATGAGTTTTGTGAAGGTTCCTGAGAAGATGGCTTTCAGCAGTTGGTATTGCCAACGGCCTTGGATGGTTTGCCGGGTATCTTGATCCGAGGAACATTTACGAGGGCTCATTCAAGAGACTCCAAGAATTGGAAGTCATCTAATGCATTGATTTAGAGCTACACCTAGATTTGCAACAAGTGATTTGGCAAAGCGCATGAGTGAGAGAACGAGGTTTGTGTTGAGCAATGTTGGAGTTGCTGTGGACAGATTGGCAGATGATATGCGCAAGCTCATGATGCAATCATCAATTCCGGCTGGAAACAAACGGAGGCAGCTTGACAAGGAGCGACATTTTCAATCAATTTGCAAAGAGTTGAAGAAGAGAAAGATAGAGAAGGAATTGATCAGAAAAGAAAGAGGAGCGACAAAGAGAAGACATTCATTGTGAACAATCAAAATGTCAAAGGGTGTGTGAGCTTAAAAGAAGCCGGCGTTGTAAGAGAAATGACTTTTTTCTCCTTGGCGGAAGGAGGCTATTGAGAGCGGAAATTGGACTATCCTTGGGATAGTGGAGAAAGACGAAACAAAGATGAGGACATTAGAGAAGAGTGGAGCATCAGAGCTTTACTTGAAACACTTTGACTTCACTGACGAACTGATGCAAAGAATCAATAATGCTTTGCTTGGGGCGCCAGAATCAAGTCCAATTGGGCGTTTCCTGGTTAAGCTGCTGGGAAAGATGATGATGAAGGGGTCAATGATCAATCAATATTCGGTGTCAAGAGCCTTGGGGGCAAGACAAATAGATGGCATATTTGCGATGCTTATGATACAAGAAGTAAGAAGAGGGATCTCAAGAACTGCTGGCTTTAGCAGGGACTTCAGCATGTCCAAGTGATCGAAATGATCGGAAATTTGCAACTTGACAACATGGCCCCACAA